CTGCACCAGACACAACACATACTCTAGAGGGATCTGTGGCAGAGTCTATAATGATCTGAGACACTTTATTAATCCCCCACACAGCCTGACTCTGCAAAACCATCACAGAACAGGCAGGATCACAGCCTGCTCTTTCTGCTGGTATCATCACACCTCTACAGCAGGGGCTTACCCAGAACAGCTCCTGACTCCAAAGTCATACCCCTAATAGCAATAAGCACAGGGTCATGACCAGGGTCTGAGCTATCCTCACCCTTACAGTGATGAGCAGAGAGATGAAACATCAGTTACAGAATTTGTGCATCCCCTATTACACCCTCTCATGTTGTCTCACTGGATCACTCAAAATGGCTCACCCACATTTCTATCTTCCCCTCCACCCCCTCTCCCACCCCCCCTCTTCTCTTCTCTTCTCCCCCTTAGCCCACTCCCAGGACTCCTGTTCCAACATTGCTCTCTGCACCTACACCAGAAACATGAAGCAACACAAACCCATCCACAGCAACTAGCAACCTCAGGGTCTGGCATAATTCCAGCCCGTCTCACACATTAAGACAATCAATGCTGCACACATCCAAGTGTCTGAAGCCATTTTTTCTCTTGTCCAAAGTCATGGCCATTGACTGGTCAAGACAAATCTTATACCTGAAACCTTAGCAGGGCCTTAGTTCTCAAGTTCTCATGCCAAATAAACAGTTGCTCCTCACCTCTCTGCTATATCTCTGGAGGATGCTGTTTTGGCAGGAGATGCAGAGGGACGTTGATTTCCCAGAGGTCTGAGCAAGCCTTCCCTCCCATTCCATAAGTTAGGTAGAGCTTTTCCTTAGGACTGTGTTGTAGCTTTGAAACATAGTATCTGGTATCCATGATGCACATGGCTTGAGGGACAGAATCGCTGCAAGAAGGGGCTTGGTGATAAGATGCAAGATGGGGTAAGTACATTCTAACTTTCTCCTCATTCTGCTTTTCCCTTTTGGTAAAGAATTACTCTGCAGCAGCTATAACTACCATGAATGTCACCACAGCCACAACACAGCTTCATTCTTTCTCCATTTTCATCTCTAATGTAATTTTGAAGCTTGTGAAAATTGTTCTGAGATAGAAGAGAAATGTATCTATAAGTAAGTGTTCATTTACTGGTATGATTCACTGCTGCCTACAGGAAACAGGAGAGACTTTTGTAATGGTGACATGAAGTTGACAGCATATAGAAATTAACCCATGGAGTGTAAATGGCTATGAAGGACCATGGTTGGCTCTGAGCTCTCCACAAAGCCCACAGTTCATCACTTATCTTGTGACACTGACATCTTTGGGCTTTGTGGACTTCTCCAATTTCTCTCTCTGTACAAGCCAGAAGGCAATCATAATGTAGGTTGGGAGCATGACATTACTGTTTCTCATGCTAAGCAACTGCAAACTGCTCCCAGGAGGATGCCTATTTATTACTGGCTCTGCGCCGGGAAAGACTGACCTAATGAAGCAATACAGAGCCACTGATGTTGGCAGGTCTTGTGGTATGGACAATTAGAGGTGCATTTATTGGCAAAATATTTGTGCCCAAAAGGCTACCACATACTGGTGCCCTGCCTTGATAATTCTGTGGTGTGGAGTTTTTATTTGGCTGCCCTTTCAAAACCACATGTAAGGTTTGCATTTGAATCCGTTAAGGTTGCAACTGAGTTCTATTTAAAGAAAAAAAAAATAAATCACTAAACACCTCAATTGCAGCTCTATTTTAATTAGTAAGTTTTAACCAATGTCCCCCAACGGTAACATACAAAGAATATCTCTAATATTTAGTGTACCAAATAGAAAATATTGTGTATGTCAAGCTAAAACATACCACTTTTTATAGCTTTTTCCTGCCTTCAGAAATGACTAACAAATACAGGGCTCTAGAGGAAAATCTAGTACCTCAGAGGATTAATTGTCTCTTTTTTTAACAGAGTGACATCTTTGGCATGTGAAAAAAATGTTAGCTAATTTTCAATTAAGATTATGAAAATGTGGTTATAAGCTGTAGACAAAGAGCAAGATGCATCTGACCAAAATTAAACATAGATATAAAATTTGATATAAATGTCCACATTTAGACATCTATATTAGATATCCCAAAATACAGAGGTACATATCTGACCAAATTAACTGTCTAAAATCCAGGTAGTTAGTGGAAAGAAAGTAGCAGAGGTATGGTCCAGTCTGGCTCTTTCTTCTGTAGCTGCCTAATGTAGGTAAGACCAGTCATGCTACAATAGTGACTAAATCTCTCCACCGAATGCAAAGGGAAGCCCAAGTGAGCAGCTCAGATGTAAGTATCTACTGTGCAGATGTTTAAAGACAGTTGAAATGATTCCCATACAGTCAGAAACCAAAAAGCATCATGCCTCCTTGTTGTAATACTCAGAAGCAGGTGAAATCATCGAAGGACCAGAACCCCTAGTTGGTATTACACACCTATTTCTCCTTCCCTGCCACATACCAATTACATCCCCATCCCTCTGTCCAACTATCCAGCTATCTGTCTTACAAAACTAAGAATGACAAAAAGAAGAAATCAACTCATAACCTCCAAACTTTCTTATGATTTAAAACCTCCAAATGTTAAGGGCCAAACTGCAGCCCCCACCCAACACCAGGTAATTAAAAATATGTAATTACTGCCTTACTTCTAAGCCTTTATCCCTACAGTGAAAGTTAGATGAATAGTGAAAATCAAGCACCTGGGGCTAGGATGACTGAAGTTTATAAGCCTAACAGAGCACTTGGCATGTAGCTGTCACCTGTTAAGTCATGAGGAAAAAGGGAAAATCCTAAATACTATCTACACAGCAAGCACACTCAGGGCAATCGGGGCTGACCTCTCCTAAAATTAAGAACTTGCACATCTCCTGCTGATTTTGAAATGAATGGGGAAATGGGCTCTGTACCTCCTGATACCTAAGAGAATGCTCAAAGGCTGTTAGGCAAATGGATAATTCCTTCTCCTTCAAGCATATTATAAAAGCAAGGGAAGGCTTGCAACTGATTTTTGTGAGTTACCTACAGAGGTATCTATCTCAGAAAGACATACTACTTCAGCTATACATAGGTACACAGAAGACCAATTGCATTGAGCACCATCTAAGACTAATTGGATGGACTCCCAGTGTTCTGGTGTCAAGCAGGGTAGAAGCATGATCTAGATGCTGAGTTGCTCAGCCCAGTCAAGATCTAGATGGAGGAGGTGCTTTAAAATGATACAGGCATATAATATAAAAAAAGAAAAGTACTTACAGAGTTTAAATGATGCCAGACTAAACTCAGAAGAGCTTTTCAAAATAGAAATTTTGGACTTAAATGCCTGACTTGACTTCAGGGTCCTACATTAAGCAGTTCCATAAAGTCACTAAAGTTACACCAGGGAGAAATTCAGCCCTAAGTGACATAATTCTTGGAATGCAATTTGCACGTTTTCTAGAACCAAAATATTACTGTGCTATCATTTTCAAGACCATTTATAAGCTGCATATCACCACTCCATATAACACTATATATTAATCTTTTGAACAGAAGGTTGGTATTTAAGAAATTTGATTCGTAGTAGCATAATATTAAGGAATTGGATTATTTATGTATCTTTATGAGTGTGGAGGTGTTCTGTCCACTCCCCTCCCCTGGAACTCTGCTCAAGCGATAACCACCTGTGGCGGTCATGATAGATGCGTCTGGTCATGATGGATGGATCCAGCTCAAAGTGGATTTGAGAGAGACAGATAACAATACAATAGCCAAGGGCTCTTGTGCAATGTGTCCACCTAAGCACAGTGAAGAAACTAAAATCTGCGGTCGGTATGCAAACATGACTGTGAGCCCATCACCTCAGCCCCATCAATAGTGAGCAGCCCAAGAGCCCTTGGAGCTCTCCTGCAGAGCAGGGGGCTGCTCACCAGGATCTCCCCTTGAACAGGGATGCCTCTCAAGGCTACTCCTCGAGGTTGAGAGCTTCCTTACCGCAACAGATTCTCGGTAGGTGGCTAACAGTGTGCTAAACATTGAAATCTTAGTTAAGTGATATAAAGGAATGTTTGCGCATATATAATCCGTTAGACATAAACCGTTGACCTAGTCTGGGACTAGGACTGGATCCAGCCACACCTAGCCTCCTCTCTGAGGAAAGAGTTTAGAAAGCAAGGGCATCTTTTCTGAACCTCATGACTCAACGGGAGGGTCTCCCTGACAGTTTTGTCTGACTCTCTCCTCTCTGCAGTAAATAACAAAGTGTACCTTGCCATCAACTCTTATAAACCACTGTTGCATTTACCATTGAACTTTGTTAACTTACTGTTTTATATAAATAAACTATATTTTTGCCTCTCACTCCATCCTTGTCAATGCATAAATGTATAACAGCTCATCTGAGATACTATTTTAAAGAGTGGTCTATTTAAATAGTAGATTCTGTGCAAGAGTTGATCTCTGCAGATCTGCCTTTAAATGGTATTAATGGCAGAGATGTTAATTTCCAAGTAAAACAATTTATATTCTTAAAGCAGGCTACATTTTTTCAAATTCTGGTAGAAACAGGCAGCCAACTTGCACATATCATTAAACTTCAAATTCCCCTGTAAATGACAGCCAAAGCATCCAGAAAGTTCAATATATTTTCTCTGAGGATAGTTGATGTAGGAAGATTTTCATGAGACGTTTTCTCTTCTATCATCAGTTCAATGATGTAAACAGTGACTGATTAAGCCTGCACTCCTTTCAGGTTGATATACCTGACTGGGAAAAAAAAAATCTCACAGCTGGAAGTCTTCCTGAGAACTAAAATAGATGACAAAGTAAAAGACCAATCTTCTATAGACACTTAATGAAGACAGGCTTCAAGGGGTTTTCTATACCAGAGATTACTTTACACCCCAGGATGAGACAAAACCAGCAGATTCTGCAGCTGAAGATTGCAATCACAGCAGAATAAGGAAAATAACAGAAAACATATTACTTGTCAAATCACTTACACTGGTTTTCCTTTGGATTCACAAGTCAAAATTATAGATTGTCCTTCTTCAGGCCATGAATTGGAAGAAATGATTTTAACTAAAGGTGTATCTAGGAAGAAAAAAAATAGACATCTTGTTGATATACACAAAAAAGATTTATTATCTAAGAGTACATTCTTCTCTATTTACAAAAGACTATACCATAGATTTAATTTACACTTGGAGATGCTTTTATATGGAGCCTTGTGCAATTTTCATTGTCTTCAGGAAGGCAATAAAAATGACCAATGGAACTAAACCAGTAACTTTTTATATCCCAAGGAAACATAGATAGAAAGCACGTGTATACTCAGAGGAAATAACTTTTTTCTTTCTGTATTCAATGCAAATACTCTATACGACTATTCCAAAGTCTGATATCTAACAACGAAATAAAAAATATTGAGGATGAATAACAAGTACTCTCTGCTGTTGTTTCTTTGTCTATTTATAGGTTGATATGATGGAAAGCTGCTATTAGAGGAATGAATGCAATAATATACATTTGAATAAGAACACGTTTATTGTTGCAGAAGCTTGAAACTCATAATAAGAAAGCTACAACGGGCTTTCAGATGAAATACCTTGTTAAAGGCATTTTACAGGATATTATTTCTGAAATGCAGTAATGCTGCCCCTAAATCAGAGCACACGTTTTAAAAACAAAATTTACAATAAGAATGTTTTAAATATCTGCAAAAAGGACTATATAAAAGTCCATAATCTGTCCCAAAAATTTAAAAATACTATTCCTATATATTGGGATTAACTTTATAGTTTTAATTACAAAAAGATACAGAACAGAACTACTGTGAATTCATGCAGAATAAAACATTTGCAGTAGATCTTAACTTATAAAGCATTTTGCCAGCTGGCTTGCAAGGATACATTCTCATAATCAAAATACTTTATGTGAGTTAAGAGGGGCACCTCTAATGAAAAAAAAAAGACCACAAAGAAAGAAGTATCTCTATATAAACCATTTTTTTCCTTAGGAAAAGGAAAAAAAAGTTCATAGTCCTAATGAAGAAAATTTTCAGACTCAATAGGAAAATATAAATTCTCATTTCCTCCACAGTTTCCTAATACAAAACACACATCTCCATCTATGGCACAAGAAATACTTTAACCTGCAAATCTAGGGTATCTAAGTTTTGTCTCATCCATTTTACAATTCTTATTTTCACTAGCAGTGAGGTAGTAGTGACACCACAGATATTCTATTATCAAGCAAATGTGAAAGAGCATGACAATATGACCCTGCAAAATCAAATGGAAAAAACCTATATGCTGTAACGATATAATTTCTTATTTAGATACTAATAGTCCTGTTAAACACTAAATGGCACACGAACAATTCAAAATGTTGGGAGCATTTTTCTAATTTTGATTTTTATTTTTGGCATATCGCAATGTATCAGCATGGCACGAGGGGAAGGTTTAGTGTAGACTTGTCATAATTCCACTGAAAGCATTGTCAGCACCATTTAGCTTTCCGTACAGCTGCACTAACCTTACGCCAGTAGCAAATCTGTCCCACAAGTTCGTATTTTTAAGGACCCTGCAAACCATTATGCAGGTGACTAATCCTTTGGAGGTCGTGCTGGCATTTGCTTCATTTTTAGCACATGCTTAAGGCACTGACCTCAAGTGCCTTAATAAATCAGGGCATCAAGTACTTCTGTGATTTCAGTGGTGCTATTGAAGATGAATAAATTACTCTCTTGACTATACATTGAACCAGAGGAACAAATTAGTATCACATAGGAAAATATGAAAAATTTAACTGAGGGAGGGAGACAACTAATGCAATGAGATCAAGAGGTTTCCAGAGAAATATGAAAAAGAGCTAAACTTTGATGGAAGTAATCATGATAGCCACAGGTGAGGGAAGAAGTTACAGCCCATCTAGCTACCATTACCGGCTTAAATATTTAAGAAATTATCAGCATTTTATGCGTTACAGGAAATGACCCACATAAAACAATAGAGGGGACTTCAGGCAATTAAGCTTCTGTTTAAATGGATCAAGGCAGTGCTGTTTCCCCCAACTTGAAGTTCCCATTCCTACTTTATTTAATACCCCAGACAGTGCTCTCTTCTCCATGCACTTCTACATGGAGCATACTAACACAGAATAAGAAAGGTCTTATATTTTTGTTCCACTCTCTAACGCACAAAAAGGTAGTGGAAGAAATACATGTCCTTGTGCTTTTCCCTACCTAATTGACTTGTACAGTAACTACTTGTTTCTTTAAACCAGGAAATGCAGGGATTAATTCAATTGTTGCATTTTATTAACAGTCCTTTCTCAAAAACTAGTTGATATTCTATTTCGGGTGCTTCATTCTCAGTGTTACTGTTTCCACTTTATTTTCATACTGTGCTTGAATTCTCTCCAGAATTGAAGTGTACACTTATAAGGGGAAAATTTTTAAGACAAACTAGTCCTCCACTTTCACATTCACATCAATATGTTTGATTTTAAAATTTAATTTTTAATTTGAAAAATTTAAAATGAGAAGAAACCTTCAGAATAATTGCATCAAAACTAACCTAAATATGTTATTTTAACAAAGATAATAAAAGCCTACTGACTGATACTTTTTCCAGAACGCAAACTGCTGTTACAAAACACTACCTCCTGCTAGGACTGTTCATTTTGGAATTTGACAAGTATAAATGTACTCTATCAATACTGTGAGCTTTAACCTGTCACACCCAGAAGTATTAATCATAACAACTGGAACATCACCTGATCTCCAGAAAGCACCACCACTAGAAAACAAAGACTAAAGAGAGAAAAACGTATTGAGAACAGCAATAGAGTAAATAGAGGTTGATTTATTTTCAGATATGCTCATCACCTTGTTTTAAGTAAGGTATGTCCAAAGAATTTCTACTTTTACAAACAAAACAAACAAAAGGAGCAGGATCAAGGGGTTTTTTTGTGTGTCAGATCTTCTGTTGCTTCTCCTCTAAAGTCACTGGAAGTATATCAACTTACAGCAATTAAACTTACCTTACCAGAACTTTAATAATTTGCACCTTTTTTTTTTAGGATTTCGCCAAGTAATTCATGGTAGTAAAATACTGTAGATCAGTATTTCAAGCAGAATTCTTATGAACAAGGGAGCGGTGACTAAAATTTCTTTACAATACCTACAAATATGCCCTTATCCTGAGGTCTAACGGCATTATGGAGCAGATATATATTCCCAAAAGAATAAGCATTGGGAAAATCCGATTCAAAAATAAAAAAACCAAAAACCAAAGTGGTTTATCTGAGTGTAGGTAATACAGCAAACCGTGACAGTAAAACACACTGGTTTCAATACCCAGTGACTTATTTATTTACATGCATCTCCAACAGCGTGAGAGCTGTTTGGCCCTCCAGTCTTTAGCTTGAGTAATGAGGTACTTATGAGCTGCAATTGATTGCTAGCACCAGTCTGAACTGAGACTCAAACATGTCTTTAGACACGTAGCACATCTTCTACCCCCTATGTGCCAAGAATCTGTCTTTTTTTTTTTTTTTTTTTCTGGAAATAACAGCTAAGCAGCAGTTACAGATGAAAACTATGGGATGGGGGCTTTTTATATATCTTTTCCTGTTTCAGCAGACCGAAGGTAAAATTTACACTGAGAGATTCTATTTCATCCATTTTTCTAGGATTTGGGAACATTTCACTGCACAAGACCAGGGAAGACATTTCAAAGCTTTGGGAAGATTTATCTGGTTTTGATCAGGCAATATCTTCTTTATTCAGCAACATACAAAATCTGTGAATGCATGTGGAAAATTGATTTCAGTTTACACTGGTAATGAATGTTATCTGGTATATGATGAAATTAAGCACTTCACATGATATTTGTTGTACTCTTAGCAATAACTAATGCCAACATTAAAACCTTGTGGAACTGCTTTACTGACTGATTTAATCTCTTTGAAGCTATTTCAAAATAAAGGTGATTCTTATCGGTCACCAGACCTTTGCTGTTAATCAGACCTCCAACGCTAAAAGGTTTGGGGTTTTTTGTTGTTTAAAATGCACTTGCTGTTTTTACACTGCCTGAAGTAAGAAAGAGTTCATTATGTGTTTATATTCTTCTATAGCCAAGCCCTTACAAAGTTACATGCAGGCTTAAATTTCTTCATATAAATTACTTCACATAAATTTCTTCATATAAAGTAATCACATGGAAGCCACTGGAAGATTCCCATATGATAAGTTATGTTAAACTGTATGTGTAAGCCCTTGACAACCACTGCATAAAAGCAGAAACAGAATTCATAAAAGTAAATAAATTTGCTTAAGATCATAAAGCAGGCCACCAACAGAATCAGAAAATTAATCTCTAGTAGCTGCTGCTTAGTCTCAAGATAGTAAGAAAGTAATTTGGCCTCTTTTTCCTATATAACTTCAGAAGTCCTCAGTCCCTTCAGTCCTTAGTAAACTGGATTACCAGAAGCTTCAGCGGATACTTTTTCAAGGAACTCCCAGCTACTGGTTGAGTACCTAAAGCAAGGTATTACCCCTATACAACCTAGGATGACAATCAGCAAGAGGTGTGTGGGAATAAACAGATTTCAGAAGAAAAATCATGCCATGAGACAAAAGGGTAACATTATGAAGATGTTACAATAGCATCATGTTGTCGTATCAAATAGTCTCTCCCTAATGTAATCATCATCGGTTAATGTAATTATAATCCTAGAAACAGAAAATAAGACCACCTCTTTCTTGGGCAGATGTTAGGGTGGGTGGAGTACACATATTTTATTGAGACTTTTAAGAACTGACTATTGGAATTAGTAGACTATTCAGGAGTAGAAATATTAGCGATCTCACAGTCATTAGAATTCAAATAGTGCTGGAAATACACCTATTCAAAGATGCATGCATTGGTCTTTGCTCCAGATAATTTTTATATATATATATATATATATATATATATATATATGTTTAGCTTTAATGTAAACAGTACTTGCCACTAGAGTTCTGTGCACATTTTTGTTAAAAGGTAAATTTCTATGTTGCTCAAATCCTTCCATTTGCTGGGCTGCCA